CTGTATTTAAATCCATACAAGATGAGAAGGACTGGTCTACAAAAGGCCTGCAGGACTGACCCTGACCTGGGTTTGGGTACAAGAAACGGCCAACTAACACACCCTGAGAAAGGTGCTCCCTTAGTGCCTAACTGCTACTATTATACTGTGTTTCTCGTTCATTTCTATTGCTGTTTTATCACAGAGTTTTTCTGTAATTGTTTCCATGGCAGTATGTAAGTGACACTTGTAATATTGCAGAGCTAAGCTTCCATAGTGAAATCAGAAGCCGAATCTTTAATTATTAACTCTGTCAGCTGCATGTCCCCTTTTCTGTGAAGCTTTTATTACAGCCCTGGTATCATCTTATCAGCATTTTACACTACTGTAATGCACATTAACCTGTTAAGCACAGGGATAAACCTGCACTAGGAGACCATTAGAGAGGGAAGCCTGTGGCGGACTGGCACACCTCCTACCCAGTGCCAGACTGGCTGGGCTCTGGCTCTGACTCAGCAAGGCCCTGTGAGGGCAAAGCGGTGACTGAGAATAGATGGACATAGACAGCAACGCCCATGAGCCCTTGGAATCCATGCTATTTAGCTAAAATAATTATTCCTGATTTCTTTTGTCCTTTGTGCCATAAAACAGCATTTTGTACTGCAGGTAGGAGTGAAAGGAAATGTATGCGTGGAATTTGAAAGTGTTTTGAATCAAGATTGCGATCAGGGTTTTCGAATCGCCTGTTCCCGGTATTGTCGACACATGGCCAGCTGCAGGAGCACCCCTGGAGCTGCGGCCAGGGTGCAGCTGGATGTTTGTGGGTCTGGACTGCAGCTGGGGCACAGCTGTTGTACCCTTGAACAAGGTCCTTCACTCGGGTTGAGCCAGTTACAGTCCAGCCATCCAGTTCACACGTTCAAATGGGTTTGGAGGAAAGTCACTTTGGTACCAGGTAAAATAATGAACACTTTCAAGTAAATATTCTCATTTTGTAAAATAATTTAAAAAGCCCCATTTGAAATGTGACCGCAATCCGGTGTCCTGAACTGATAAAACAGTTTTCCATAAGCATAAAAATGTGTTCTGCCTCATGGTCTCTCAGAACAGTATGGGAGCACTGCATTGGCAAAACTGGGGATTATTTATTTTAGTTAATATTGTTTGCTTTTATTCTGGTAAATGACAAAACAGGAATACACTGTAACAGGCCATTCAGCCCATCTAGCCTCTAGCCGCTAATTGATCCAGAATTTTCTTAAAGCTCAGTATGCTTCAGCAATATGCCTGGGTAGCTTGTTCCACATTCCCATGAAGTTCATGATTGAACACAACTCAAAGCTGCAGCTCTGAAACATGCAAACCTACCTATAGATTCTTATGAACCACGTTGTTATTTTATTTTATTTCAATACAGTTTGAGGTCTAAGGACATTTGTGAGAGGTATTCTGGGGCAAGAGTTATGTTGCACCCACTAAAACAATCTGCTTTTTCTTCCTCCATGTTTTTCTAGCTCATACAAATGTTAATTTATTCTGGATTAACCTTGTGTTGCAAACGAGTCAGAATGCCCTCATGCAACTTCCCTCACCCCGCTCTCGCCCCGCCCACCTCACCTGTTGGCTGCCAGTTTGTTGGAGATGAAACCTCCTGGGATCTGGGTGACAATGTAGCCCCAGAAGAAAGAGCCGTGAATCAGGCCAACAGTTTCCGGGTCCCAGTTAAATTGTGCAGGCTGGAAAACATGCACAGCACTTCACAGTCAATGCATTCCACATGCTTTCACTGCAGTAGTGAGAAATAAGCAATAATGAAAGTATTTACACAGCTGGTTACACCAGATTAGGTCCAAACAGATAGTTATTCCAGATGCTCCAATTAGCAATCCAGTCTTGAACCACTTCACTGATTATGTTTTCTCCTCTGTGAAGTGGCAACATTTTATTTTTCGTTTGTGGTCTTTCTTTCCTTCATTATTTTCCTGTGGATTTCCTTTGAAGTGCAAAAAGTCATTAGCTCACATTCTGCTGAAAAAAAATCTGATTGGGATGATTCATTAAGACTAAAAATCACTTGTAACACCCTGATATGATGGGAACCAATTTGATTGTATTACAAAAACCTGTGTGATGATGCATTTTAAAATAAGCATGACAGTAATATCCGGCAAAAATTCATTAGCAAACTAAAGTGTTCTGTAAATCCACTGAAATATTTAAATGTTTTTTTAAATGTCCATTTTCAGCCCTATGAATGAAACACTATTGAGAATTTATTGTTTTTTCTGATTAGTTCACCGCTATTACTTGTGACTCCCAATGGCTTTCACCTTGTGCTCATTTTAATGTTGAGAACCATTTTTAATTGGATTTAATAAATCCCATCAGCACAAGTGTCATGCTGAGCCTTTACTTACATTTCAATGTCTTTGTTTAAGGCAGCGATATTCCCTCCACTAGTACTACATTTCAATAAAGTAAAGATTTGAAGGAGTTTATACTGAATCCTGTGTGTACAGTAGCAGTGCATTTGCTGAACTGTTGAGTCGGTTGCTGCCTGTAAACCATGCTGTGTCTCTAAACAGCTTGATATGTCAGCATTGCGCCCTGGATGTTTCACCCACAATGACATAACTTGCTTTGATGCCATTACCTGCATCACCGGTGTGCCATTGATGTAAACAGTGTTGTTATTGACCATCTCCACTATGGCCACCCCCAGGTTGCACCTGATGCCGAAGGAGATGCAGAAGCCCAGGCCGCTCATGATGGCGATGATGTAGCGCTTGGGCAGCCCGCAGCAGGCGCAGTCACACAGAGGCGGCTTCCTGACCGGAGCCTCCACGGGCCGGCCGTCCTGCGTCAGCTCGATGTGGTCTTCCTCGACGTTCGTGCCATCGATTGTTCTGGGAAGGAGGGAAACGCGCAGATGGGTAAAAGAATACATCCTGCGGTGCGGTAGTTAATTCCCCATGACCTTTATCCCCTGTGCAGCTCACACGAACAGTGGACAAGCCCCCTGAGGCGAGCGCCTGGCCCTCCAGGAGTGGGAGTGTCCGCCCATTTCCTGCTTCCCGGGGCATTCTGGGATTGAGCGACCATGCAACATCCTTCATAATGGCTCCTGTGTAATCAGTGAAACGCTTTGCATTACGAAGATGTTATGGAGCCAATATGCATCTATCTTGGCATCGAAATAATCTTCTCTCGGATGTTAAATGGATGACATGGGATTCAAGGGATGCTGTGTAAACGTGTGGCTATTTCCCTAGGGAGTGGCAGTCTGATCTTACTTGGTTATGAAAGGAAGCACATAAGTACCCAAGAAAGGAAACCCTTCATCAAAGGATGTGATGCGGGGTTAACTGTCACAAACAGAAACATCTCTCTGAGGAGGTGAGGGAGGGTGATCCAGCACTCATGGGGGCTGCTGAAGATCTAAGAGCTGGAGGCTTCTTTCACTCGCCAGTCGCTGCTGGACCTTCAACACGTCTCTCCACGTCCATTGCTGAACCAGCCAATGAGCTCGATCCACAGCACTACTACTAGTGCTGTGCGGGTGTCTTGTAAATGTGTGATTTACAGTCGGACGAAAGTCATTACGTACCAAAGCAAAATGTTCTTTGTACCCTCTATTGCAGCTTTGAAGTGTTGTAGTTGAATCTGAAAGTGCTGCACACACAATCAACAGATGGCATGAAGCAATAGCACGGTACAGCCTAAGTCACGGTATGCCTCCCACTGTGGGCTAAAGGACCAGTTCCCAACGTCACCTGCAGATTCGAAACCCAATACTTGGTGACAGCTTTCCAGTGGTAGACAACGGACGTGTTGTCTTTGAGTGGCAGGTGGCCTTATGTTTGGTAATTTGATTTGTCCAAGCACCAGCTGTCTTATCTCATATCTTAACTATTTTCTGCACTGAATCCTTCATTTAGGTGCATCGTTGCCAGGAAACGTAACTAGGAGAACATTCTTCAGAACATTGTCAACCTGCATATGCATTGTTGCTCCATATTAACACTGCTCGGTGATGGATCATGCAATGCCACAGGTGGGAATTCTGTTTAATCAGCCCCATCCCTGTAGTACACATTCCTCATTCCGCTTGAGCCAGATCAATTGAATTCCGAGAACCAGACCAATGAGGTAATGTACAGCAGCTTAAGGGTTAAGGCTGATTTGTAGCCGTAAATATTTTTCAAAGTTGAAGATAATTTAAAAAGAGGAAATATCAAATTCAAATAATTCTAAAAAGTGTTTGATGATCAAGAGCTCCACCACTGAGAAAATGCACTAGTGATTCCAAAATCAAAATTGTGAAACACTGATTTCTAGAAATAAAAAAGCAATAATTAATGAATGGGACTGAAGTGGGAATGGCCCTTTTAAGGAATACTTTTTGAGGAATACTATTATGAATACTTGTTTTAATGAGGTATTTTTGCCATGATGAATATTAAACCTGATTATCTGAAAAAAAAAATGTGTCTCACTTTCACCATAGAATGTCCAAATAATTCACAATAATATGTAGGTATAGACAAGAATTAAAACATCATTTTGTAATATGGACTAACACATAATAAGAAATAATTTGTATCTCATATATGGTTGCAAGGTGAGTCTGACTATGAACAAAAAGTTTCCTGAGCAGTGACGCACGCAGTAACTCTTGAAGCCCAGGCACCGAGTTACACTAAGAGTAATGTTTTTCTGTTTTTCATTTTTCAAAAGGTCCTCAGAATGTATTCCCACCTGACAGCAGCTATGCATGTCTGGTCTGCCACTGATGGTGACCTTACAAAGCACGGTACACGCAGAACAACACTCAAAAGGTTACATCATTGTTCGTAGGCTGCACCTGTTCCATTACCCGTCTCTCATCTTCTTCCACACTGGATTTACTTTAATCTGAGGAGGACAGATCTCCACCTGAGTTCCTCCGCCGTTTTAAAAGGAATCAAATCTGCAGTGAATATGTTTGCAAACAAAGCTTCCCCGAGGTCTTGTTAGAAAGAATTTGTTTGCTGAGGTTTTCTGTTTAGCATTTAGATTGAGATTGCAATGCAGAGTGGCCCTAGCGTCCTGCCTTTCTCCTTCGTGACGTGTTGCCAATACATATTTTCAGTGTGGAATTACTTAAATATGAAGGGTAGTCGTAATCCATTAGTCAAAAAAGAAAGATTTTCATGATATAAAAGAGGTGATGAGGAAGCCTCAAAATAAAGCACGTCTTCTGCTTTACAGACATCTGTCTCCAACCAATTAAATTAGCACGAAACCTGTCCTAAGAGGACATAAAAGTCAGGAGGCAGTCGTCCCTAATGTATTCCTTTGATAGCAGCATGCCTGAAAAGGCCAATATACTCACCAGAACAGAAGTGTAAGATGTTTTGTGTCAATAGAGATAGCAGCTGTGACCTTGTTTGCAAAATCCAAAAGCACACTTGAAACTCAGAAGAGCTGCGAGAGTGTGGCAGCACCAACATGCGAGCTGCAAG